GTTGTCACCTTGGTAATTTGGTATATATACCTCCTATAATCTAAGAAAAAATTACAACAACCAAATAATTGAACTCTCTTTACCAAGCATCATCGTCATCATTACGGCTGAAAATACATCATCATCTAACCCAGTCTTCTCAAATTATGTCTACCAGAATGAAACGGTCAATTGAAAAACTTGAAGCTGAAATCAAAAATATATTTGAAAAATGGCGTAGTAACAAGGCATTGCAGAATCACATTCTCCAGGGGATCAAAGAGATAAGAATGCAGTAAAGCAAAAACAAAAAGAGATTCGAGCTGAAAATGCTAGTGCCACTGAACTCGGTGAAACATTTGAAGTAGTGCAAGAGTTGTATCATCACTTTGGAACAATTGGTATAGAATAAGTGGAAGTATGTTTTGGCTGGAAACCCGGTTCACATTGGTTTGGCATATATGGAACGAGTGGAAGTATATATTGAGGGTGCTCGACCCTATACACAGTGGCTGGAACAAACTCTTGGTTTGAGGTCGATTGATTGTTTTCAACACTACGATCGCAAACATATAATCTTAGGAGCTTGCGGCGAGATATCCACATCAATAGTCAAAAAATGTCTTGTATCATCGGGGTCAAATAACTCGACAATCGAACCAGATATGTTAACTTAAAATGATTTTGAAAATCATGTAAGTTTAATTTTCTAGCTACATAATTGACCAAACCTGATAACTTTTAAGTGTATTGGCAACAATAACATAGTTTTTTACGTTTCTAGAATATAATCTACTACGTCGTTGACTAACTGCCACAAACCTCCACCAAAAATACATACTCTAACTTTCTCATCCACAAACATTGATCACATGTTACCAAAGGGCCTTTGGCCTAGCGGTATGTGAGTCATTGACCTTCTAAGAGGTCAAAGGTTCAAACCTCACCAAATGTGAGGAGAGTGTGTGAGTTTATTTGTTCTATTTACCGTATATAAATATTATATACTTAAAAAAAACATTGATCACATATCAATTAAATAAAGTGCTCTTTTTCCCATGTGGCTCGTCTATTTTATGCTGGGTTAATTTTAGGGTTTGATTCTACATATTTCTATATGATTTGTTAGCTTAATTTTACAGCTTGATTTCACATGCTTCATCTCTTTTGTTAGGTTAATTTTTGGATTTGATCCGGCTTTTATTCAGAGATTTCGTTTCACATTGCCATGTATTACAATTTCATCTATTTTGTATGATTTAATATAGTTAATTATTTCATGCGATTTACTTTATGTATTATTGGATATATAATCATATGTTATTCAAGGAATCTAATGTGTAACTCAATCCATAAAATCAGAAATCACATATGATTCAAAGTAGAGTTTATAATCACTGTCTTATCATATATTTGATCACATGTGATATTATATGCTTAATCACATGTGATTCAATAAATGGTCAAATAATCTAACGTCTAACTCAATCCATAAATCACATGTGATTCAATATAGAGTGATAAAAAAGGATTTTTAGGGATTGAAATGATTATTAAATAATCTATAAAACAAAAATTACCTTCATGTCCTTATTATCTTAACTTTGGTAACCTAATCATAACCATAAAATAAGATAAGATGGGTGGTTGTGGTTTATTCTCTTATTTAAACATTATTTTTGTATGAATGCACCTTTCTACATATAGATAGGGTTTAAACGAGAACATTTTCATTTTACAAGAACATGAGAATACCCTTTTACTATAGACAATCACATGTGATACTATTATTTCATCACATATAATATACATGTGATACTAAATCAGAGATGCTGGTTATTTTCAATGTGATATTGGTTGCGGGCCAAGTCGCCCTTACACCACTAAGCCTCTTCACAAATATTAACACATGTGATAAGAGTGTTGTAGATATGATATTATAATTCATCAAGACCATCACATGTGATGCTAAATCATAGATATAGACAACCTTTGGCGCGGGCTAAGTCGTAGAACACATCGTCCGCACATCACAGGGTCCCCTCACGCGTATTATTACATGTGATAAGAGTGTTCTTTCGTTCTCGTAAAATTGAGGTGTTCTCGTTTGAACCTCATATATATATATATATATATATATATATACTATAAGGGTACTCGCGCAATGCAGTGAGATACATCTTGATTTTAATATTTCATTTTATTCTTTATCTCAGTCGATGTTATAGT